AAAATATGATCTACTAATACTTTTTGACTAGGTAACTTCAATTTGGAATTTGCAAAACTTAACATTTTTAATTTGATTAATTTTTAATCTATCTAAATGACCACCCATTTTCTACAGTGAAATTCAAAACAAAATCTTCCTATTGAAATTTTTTTTGTTTAGAAAGAAGAGTTAGTTTGGACATATAATATGTAATTTTTTTTTTATTTTTAATAGTTAATCCCTCTATCACAAGATTAATAGATCTTTGGCATTAACTTCAAATTCTAAATATAAAATTAAAGATTAATAAATAAGAATTAAATTATTTAATTAATGATAAAATTTATAAAAATTATTTATACCAAATAAATGATATAATAAGAAAAATAAGAAAATAGAAGATTCTTTTTTATAAGAAAAAGAAGATTCCTTTTCAGTTTGATCTTTCTCTTTATATTTTTCAGAAAAAAGTATTTAATCCTTTTCAACTTCGGAGTATCTTTCCTCAAATTTCTTACATAACTTTAAATGAAAAATTACCAACCTTTTGGTATTTATAATTTTAGTTTTATAATAATAACATAATGTAAAATAATTAAATTTATTTGCTTTTTCATTTAAGATAATAATGTATTTAGTATAGAAGTGCTTTTGTAGTAGCATTTTAAATGAAAAAAATAAAAAAAATTAAGATTATCATTATTATACAATATAAAAATATCAATCACGTTGTTCAATTAAATGTTCAATTGAATTTAAACATATGTTCAATTGTCTAATTAGATTATTTAGATATATATAAAATCCAAACAATATTCAATTAATCAATTTTATTTAATTGGATAATTGAATATATATTTATTTTGATAGTGTTCAAATATCTAATTATATGAATTGAATATTATTTAAATCTAACACTAAAGATGATAGACTACAATAGTCATGCATTCCCTAGAAACTACCATTTTTCAAGAGATTGAATGATAAAGTATTATAATAATAATGCATAGATGGCTATTAATAAAGCTCTTCAAGGTCTTCAAGTAATATAACTTATTAGACTTGAACTTGGAGAAAATGAAACATTAGAAGAAATTTAATCAATATTTCAATTTGTCTTAGAAAATAGTTATATATTTAGAACATAACTGAAGTATATAGATATTGTAAAAGTATATAAAGAATTATTTAAGGATACAGTAAACTGGCAATTTCAGGAAGAAATAATTAGTAAAGAAAGAAAGCAGAAATCTCTAGAATCACTTAAAATAGTTGAGCTAACAGAGTAGATATTTAGTGTTAATCATACCAGAAGCAAACTTGCCTGTGAAATCAATGATTGGCATCTGACTCCAGCCAGTATGCATGAAAATATAAAATAATCTTGTATTAAACATGAGTAAAGAAAATGCTGGAATGCATCTAATTATCAAGTTAAAAATGTTGTATGTATAGATATAAAGAAATATTATCCAGCAAGCATATGTGATCAAGAAGAATATTCACTATAGTTCAAATAATTGGCCATCTAATATACTATCTTGTTCGAGTAGCAGTAAATAGAAAATTATCACAAGATAATATAACTAAATTTGCGCAGGTAAAATCTTTCAAATTCATTCTTAATATTTATTAAGCAATTCCTACTTGGTATAGAAAACACTTTATCTGTCAAAGTGGAGAGGGATGTAGAAAGACAAGAGGATGGACACCTATTGTATTTCTATGATATCTTCTTGAAATAGATATCCTAAAAAGTGTAACTATTAAGGAAGTGATATTTTCTCTTATTAAGCAAATAAAGTTATGGCTTCCTAAAAATCAAGATATTAGTTATGCAATTATAGGAAAATTTATATAGGAGAGTAAGGTTGAAGAAAAATACCTTATTCATTAAGTTGTAATAAACAAAGGTGAACTTAATTTCTTAATCCAAAATTAAAGAGAGAACATATGCCAGTAGCAATAAATGTTCGCTTGAATATATACTTATGTATAAATTAATATAATAATTTAAATTTCATTTATTAACCAAAAATCATTCTGATCATTTTTTTAATTTTCTGATTCCTTTTTTTTTCTTTTTACTACCTTCTTCTTTAAGTATATAAAAAACTAGTATGATATAATTCATCAGATCAATATGAAGTCAAATTTTATATTTATCATATAATATTTTACTCTACTATTAGTATGCATTTATTTTTTAAATTTATTTTTATTTATTACTTATTTTATAATATTAAAAAAAATTATTATATCGCATTTTACTAATTAAATACTATATCCACTAAAATCTATTTTATTTTTATTTTTATTTTCATTCTTTTTATTTTATTTTTTTAAAAAAAAGCAAAGACGAAAAAAATAATCTAAACTAAAAATAAAAATAAAAATAAAATAAAATAAAAAATAAAAATAAAAATAAAAAAAGAATAAAAAAAATGAAACTAAATAAAAAAAAATAATAAAAAAAAAGAAAATAATAAGTTTAATGAAAATATAATAAAAAAATAAGGAAAAATAAAAAAAAAAAGATTAAAAATATAAAAATATAAAAAAAAAAAAAATAATAAAAAAATTTCAATAAAAAAATACTGGAAATTAAAAAAAATAAATAAATAAACAAACTAGAAGGAAATAAAAAAAAAATATATATATATAAAAATATAAAATTCTAATTTGTTATGATGAACTTTGAATATGAATATCTTAATATTTACCTATTAAATTTGATATGTAGATTTAATAGATTCAGCTCTTTCAAAAATATTCAGATTTAATTATTATAAGAAGTTACAATAGATTTGTAAATTGGTAAAATCTTAAGCAGATCTAAAGTCAATTTTAGAAAAAGTATTCATAAATGTATTTTGAATTAATTTTCTGATTATGTCAAGATCTGATTACCTAAAAAGATGAATTATAAAATCTTAAAATGTAAAATTTATGATAAAAGATTATTAATTATTTATCAAACATAATTAATTAGTCAAAAAATTATTAAAATAAAATTACAAATTTAGAATATCAAATCTTTAAAATAAACTAATGTTTATAAAATTTAAATAACTAAAACAAATATAACCTTATTAGTTGAAATTTATAATTTATAAAAAAAAAGATAAATAATGAGATAAAATTATAATAAGAAATTAATTATAATATTTATTAAATACTTTAAAGTTTTAAAACTAATAAAATTAGTTTTGGAATTATATATTATATTTAAATGTTCTTATTTAAAATAAGGCTAATATTCATAAATATTATTATCTTCAATCTACTGAAATTTCTGTATAATTATTAAATAAATGTTTAATAACTAAATTTATAGAAATTTTATTATTTTTAAAAAATATATAATCTAATTTATCTTTATTATATTATGTATTAGTATTTTTATTAAAAGAACAAAAGAAAGATAATTCTACAGTTTTTACTCTAACATGAGATAATTAGAGTTTTTTTTTTATATTATTTATTATTATTTTTATATCAATAAAATGATCTGATATTTTATTTATAAAGATATTTTTATACTTTTTATATGTAAGTAAGTTTATTATAAAAAATTTATTATTTTATTTAAATATAAATTCCATTTTAAAATTATTATTAAATTTTTTTTATTTAGAATAAAAAATAAATTCTAATAAAAAATAAAAATATATATTTTGAAGATAGAATTAGTTAAATAAAAATTTTATTTTTTTTATTTTTTTAATAATTTTTTGCTTTTTGAAATTTTTTTTAATTACATTTTTTTATTGTTAGTTTCATTTCTATAATAAATATAAAATGGATTTTTATTTTTAAATTTAAAATTATTATATTTTAATAATAAATATATTTTATTAAATTAATAATATTAAAAAATATATATATTTAATTAATAAAAAAAGTTATAAAAAATTTATTTTATTTTATCTTTTGCTTTTAAACCAAGTTTAGCTCTTTTTAAATTTAAAAAAAAAATTATTATTAAATTAAATTATTTTAATTTTTATATAACAATATTTAAAATATTACTTACTAATATTAGATCTTCTTTTATCTTTAGATAATTTCATTTTAGTTTGAAATCTTTTTGGATTATTAAATTTTTTTATTGACAAATTTTTAGGAACTTTAAATAGTTTTTATATATTATCTTTAGAAGAATTATTTCCTTTATTATTGATTTTAATAATAGAAGATTCTGATAAACTTTATATAAATGATAGACAATACTATATCTAATACTTTTACTTAATATACAATTATCATATAATAATAAATGAGAATAAAATGCTAAAATTTGTTCTAGTTTTAAAGGTATTACAATGTTAAGTTAAAGAAAGCATAATTCACTTCCTTCATAATCTTTTAAAGCAATTAAAATACAAAAACAATTTTTTTCATCATTTTTATCCTAATAAAAATCACTTATTGTATTAAAATTAATAGCAATTATTGAAAAATTTTAAAAGACCTTAATGCAAATAGATCCCAAGAAAAATTGCTTAATTTTATGTATAAATTATTATAATATTCTGACATATTGATTAACACAATTTGATAATAGTTTGAGAGCAATAATTAATTTATTTACATATTCTAAATAGTTTATATTATGACTATTTGCCATATCTGCACTAATATAAGGAAAACTAGTATATTTTCTATAAGCTCTAAAATGTTCTGCCATATCTTTCCAAAAAGATTCACTTCTATAAAATGGATTATCTAAAGTATAAAAATAATAATCATTGACAGTTTTTGTTAATTGTAAAATAATAATATTATTATTAATATTTTCTAAATGTATTAATATTTGATTATTTTGAACTACAATACATTCAGATTTAGTATTATTATTTTGATTTGTTGATCTAATTAATGATTTAAATATAATATTTTTATTAATAGTATTAATATCAAATACTATTTTTTGATTTTTTTGATTTTTTAAAGTCTTTTCCATTTATTTTTAATAAATTTTCTGATTATTTTCTTTTTAATTAGTTTTTTTAAACCTAATCATTTACCAAAAGATTTTTATGATTTTTTATTAATAATAATATTATTATTAAATCATCTTCATTATCTTCATTATCATTATCATCTTTATCATCATCTTCAACATCATTTTCAACATCTTCTTCATCATCAACTTTATTATCATCATTATTATCATTATTATTATCTTCATCTTTATTATTATCATTAATTATTTTATTTTTATTATATTATCAATTAAACTTAAATATTTTAAAGGAACTTCAAATATTTCTTTAAAAAAATTAATAAATCTTTTAAAGAAATATCACATTTTTTTTTTATATTTTTGATGATATATAATCTTCTAGATGAAGATTAACATGATCCTAAAATTGATTTATATAATGAAATTTTTCTGAAGTAGATAATTCTTTTGTTTAACCTTGTATTTTATATTTTGTTAGATTAAACAAATAAATTAAATATTTAAATTATCTAAATCATCTATTTTATTTATATTATCTATATTATCTATATTCTTAAGAGCTTTATTTTAACGTATATGTACTTATTGAGATAATTGTTTAGACATAATGAATTTTGATTTTTGAATTTTGAATTTTTTATTTAAAAATATAAAATAATAAAAGATACTGTAAGTAATTTTTAAATAAATAATAAAATATTTTTTATTTTTTAACTCCTTTTATAATAAAATTTTTTATTATATAAATAAATAATAAATAAATTTAATGTAATGTATAACATAAAACAAATAATGTAATATAACGAATAATATGTAATATAATACATGATATAAAATAATAAAATTTTTTAATACAATATAGTATTTGCATTTAGCTAAATATAAAATAATCTATAACTGTTGATCCTAAATACCATGTAGAGGTAGTAATTATTATTTAGGAAAAAGATGTGAATTAAATTGCAATTGCAGAACTATCAATTAAACTTTATTAAGTTATCAGCATTGTTTGAATGTAGTTGCTTCAAACCCTAATTTAGTAACTTAGAAAAACTAACATATTAATACAATCAAAATAATTCAATTTGAATTTAATAAGTTAAAACTTGTAAGAGAGAGAACGCGTTAGATCCTAAGCTATAAATGACTACCTCTAACTTTCATTGTGTTTGATAAAATATATAAGAATATTTATTAAAATACAATAAATCAATAAAATTTTATTAAAAAATAATAGATAAATTATTTTAATAAATAAAATCTTTTAAATTAACATAATAAAGATAAGATTAATTTAAATATAAAAGTAATATATAAGCTTAAAATTATTAATTACACTTACCAATCAAAAAAAAAATTTGAATTAAATTATTATAAAATATAAAACAAAAAGTTCTTAAAATTCTAACTCTAATTTTAACTCTAAGTATTAATGTGAAATAAATTTTTTTTCTTAAAAAAATAAATAAATTATTAAATAAATTAAATAATTCAGTTTAATATTTTAATGATCTGTATCATCTTATTAAGTATTTAGTTAGTTTTATTTTTAAATTAAAAAAACTATTATTAAATTTCTTCAAATATGCTTATTCTCAATCTGATTTCTAACCAAAGCCTCAAGAATCCTACAAAGATAAATTAATAAATGTTAGTTTTTTATAAAAGAATAACTAACAAATTATTTCACATCATCCTAAGTTACCCATTTTACTTCAAGTCTGACCTCCTAAAAATAGAGAAAGAAATATTAATAAACATTTTCAATTGAAAAACATCTACCCAAAATCACCATTTACCTCAAGTTTGGGTTTATTTAAATTCAAAGTTTTTTCAAGACTTGAAGTCGAAGTTAGTTTCTATAGAGGAAGAGAAAGGTGAAAGATTGATTTTTTTTTAAAAAAAATAAAAAAGGAAAAAAATGTAACTAACTAATACTTATATTTTGTAGGTTCTGTTCTTTAAGCCTTAGAATTCAGAGATAAGTTCTTACAAATAAAGATGCAATCTGGATTATTTTACAAAGATAAGTTTAGTATTAGTTTTTTTTATGATTATAAAAAAAAGAAAAAAATTAATTAAATATTTTACTTCATCAAGACTTATCTCCAATCCAAGATTCTAAGATTTGTAAATTCTAGATTAGTTTATAAAGGTAAATTATATTAACGTTAATTTTTATTTCTTAAAAATAAAATAAAAATAAAATAAAAAAATACTAAAAATTCTGTAAAATTTATCTTGATTTAATACTTTAAGGATTCAGACCAGTTTACAAAGGTAAGTTAGATTTTTTTAATTATAAAAAATACTAATATTAATTTAATTTTAAATCTCCATTAGAACTTACCTCTTATCTGATTTTAACTCAGATTTTCAAGAATCTAAATCGTTTATAAAGGTAAATTTAGTGTTAGTTATTTTTTATGATTATAATAAAAAAAAAAATAAAACTAATAAAATATTCTTACTTAATTACTGATCCAAAAATTCCATTAGAGAAGAAAGCAAAGTTTTGAACTATTTAGGAAGCATTTTACTTATATATATAAATATAAGAACTTTAATTAATACAGCTTATTTTTTATGCAAAAATTTCAAAAATTTTTCTTAGCAAAGAAAATAAGTTTATATTAAAACTTATTCTATTTAATTTGTTTTATTTTAACAAATACATAATAAAAGGTAAGAATTCGTAATTTTAAAGCTAGAATTCATAACTTTTCATATATTTTAAACTATTTTTTGAGTTAAGAATATTAATAAACACATAAAAATTTCTAGTTCAGTAGTCTTTAGTTTCAAAAACCTAAAAAATAGATTTTGTATAAGTTATGCAGTTATGACAAACTTTTATGAATTATACAAAAAAAGTTAAAATTTTATATGATCATGAGATTAGGCAATTCTTAACATACATTTTTTATAAAAAAACCCAGTACAAAATGTGATAAACTTAATATATTATACTACAGATACTACAGATAAAAATGGTTCACAGATAATTAGAATAAATTGTCAATATAGAATTTTATTTTTTCCCTTTCTTTTTAACAAAAAAAAATAAAATTGTGTATAATATATCATTATCTAGAACATTGTAATTTACTCGTAAAAAATGTTATTAATAATTATATGAGATGGCAGAAAGTGAAGAAAAAAAAGAAGTTAGCTTTAATTATACTAATTCTTATTGTAATATTATCACTAATTTTTATGGGGTATTTTATAAAAAGAAATTTAACAAAATTAATAATAAAAGTAATATTATGGTAAATTGGTTAAAGTTCTTTATATTCATCAATTCATAAAATAGTTGAGTGAAAGCTTTCATTTCTACTGATTTTATCTTTGAGAAAACTTTTATCAGGCCATTACAAGTTATGAGCATTATTTGGTCATACATTTAAATATTAAGCTAAGAATAAATGTGTTGAATGTTAATTGTAGTATTGGTAAATATCGTTTTTAAAAAAAGAAATTGTTATTTATTTTATTTTTCTAACTATTTTTTCACTTATTAAAGGTAGACCTATACATAAAATTTATTAATTCACTGGAACTCATATTACTAGTTTAAATAATAATTATTATCAAATTTGTCATGCAATAAAATCAGCAGTTAATATGAGATTAGAAAATAAAACAAAATTTTTTTTAAAGATGAATTCATAGAAATGTCATTTGAAGATAATTTTTTAGATACAGTATATATCATTAAAGCAACATGTTATGCTCTAAAGTTAGAAGGAGTTTATAACTAAGTATTTCGTATTTTAAAACCTAAAGGTATCTTTGTCTTTTATAATAGTATATAACTGATAAATACAATCCAACTAATACTGATTATAGAAAAATTATTCATGAAATTAAGGTAATTAGTCTAGAGTGTAGCGAAGTACTATATAATTTTATGCTATTTAACTCAAAGATATCTGCTCAATAATTGAGTTGATGCTGATTAGTATTTGTAATTTGCATAAAAGTCTAGATAAAGTATAGTCTAAATAGTCTGTATAGAATAACCAATGATCAATATAATTTTTATATTTTCTTAAAAAAATGGTTTTAGCAACTGAGTGTAGATTTGAATCCAGAATATAAAAAATTTTTATATTGATGATCAAAATTTACTAAAATCAAGTAAATATAAAATAATAAAAAATATCATATATTTTACAAAATTTATCACATTTTTTTTACATATTTTATCATATAAAGCAGGCATTTTTAAAATTGAATACCACAGATTTCAGGTGACTCTAGTCTTTATAAAGTCTATTTTAGGTGATACAAAAATATCCTGCTCGAAATTTATACAATATATTAAAAAATAATTATAAAACTAACTAGTATATTTGATTCTCTAATACCCATACTACACGATCATTGATTTTTGTTTTATATAATATTGTAATGATACAGTAGATGTAATGTTAACAGTTTAATAGGTTACTAAAAAAATGATCAAAGGTGATGTAATAACATTATAATGTTATAGGTTATCAGTATATGATACAAATAAAGTAATAATACAAAAGAAAAAAGTTACTAATAAGTTTTTCCATTAATTATCCTTTTAAAAGGAATGCATTTAACAGCCAATTGTAAAATATAATATCAATTAATGATTAAATTCATAAAAAATAATATTAAGATAAACATAAGCAAGAAACTAATAAAGGATTACCTCTCAATAGTTTCTTAATATAGTTTCATTAATACCATATCGTTTAGCCTTTAGTAATCTATAACTATATACTTAGAGTTCCGAATGAGTCGAGTTGAGTTGAGTTTAAAGACCAACTCTATTCGACTCATTTTTTTCGAGTCGAGTCGAGTCAAATTTATTTTATAAAATCT